CTCAGGATTTATCCTGAGATCCTGTACCTCAGATTGTAGATCATTTGTCAGTGTCAGCCATGTGGATGAGTCACAGCCATTGCTTGGCCAATTTGCTGTCTATGAAAGCCTGAGAGAATGTTTTTCTCTCCATGTGACTCTTCTTAGGCACACTCTGCATCATCGATCACTTTGCTCTTTGGCCCCATAATCTCCTTGGTCATAAAATTTGGGACACTACTGAGTCACATGATGTTACAGAACAGGTTCTCATATGTCCTGAGTCTTAATGGACCTTGGAAGGCTAAGGCCAAAATGTTGGCTTCCCTTGTGACCCTCATTTTTCTCTAACTAACTTAGGTTGTAAACCCTCCAGAAGAGAAGTTTGTTGTTATTGCCATATAACCTAGGTTGCTGAGCTTAACCTCACTATCTGTCTGAATATCAAACATCTTAGGCATAACAAGGAACAGGTATTTTTCATATAGGATTGATATATTAAACATTCAGTCCCTACAGAATATGACAAAAAATTTTAGAAAACGAAATTACATGTAAAAAATAGGAATAAAGAATTATATATGTTTACACATAAGTCCAGAAATCTTACCACATACAACATTGTTGTAGGACAGTCCTGCAATTCTCCTTTTCCTGTCTTCTGCCTTCATTCAACACCCCCTTCTATTTTACATAATCATCTATTTGAGAGGCAGCATGGCAGCAACTGGTGTGTCATGACAAGAAGCACATATCCAGAAAGCCAGAATGACAGGCACTCCAAGCATGAACCTACTATTACAGACTGCTATCTTCAATGCAGTTGCTTAGTTCACAGGTGTCAGTATAAATATTTAGTCAGGGTGAGATTCCTTCCAATTAACTGCTAGATTCAAAGATCTTCTAAAGATTCTCAGAATGATTGCCTTACCCATCTTGTATATATAACTTTGTATGGATTGCCTCTGTCATGTTTCCTCTCTCTTTTCCTTGCTCTTTCTTCATTGTCTAGTCCTCAACTTCTTGCTTTCCTTTTAGTTGTATTATACATTTCTATTTGTATTTCTTCTTTTGAGTTTTTATACTAGGGAAACTATATGATATTTACACATGTGTGTCTGTTTTTTTTCACTTATGAGTATATCTTCAAGTGGCATCCACTTAAATATAAAGGCTTCAAGTTTATCATTCTTTATAGCTGAGTAATACTCCATTGTACAAAAACACCACATCTTTTTCACACATTCCACAGATCACAGGCATCTTGGTTGCTTCCAAGATTTGGTTATCACAAATTGTGCTGCTATAAACATAGGCACACATATATCACGATGATATGATGTTTTCAGAGCCTCCGGGAAAATTCACAGTAGAGGAATAGCTGGATTAAGTGGGATTTCCAGTCCTAGTTTTCTAAGGAGTCTCCATTCTGATTTCCATAATGGTTGCACTAATCTATATTCCCTCCAGTACTGGAGAAGTGTTCCTTTTTCCCACACAACCTTTCCAACATTTGTTGTTGGTTGATTTCTTTATGATAATCATTATTTTAGGGGTGAGATGGTATTACAATGCTGTTTTAAGTTGCATTTCATGCATGGCTAGTGATGTGGAGCATTTTTTCATATATTTATTCGCTTCTTTAATTTCACCTTCTGAGAAGTGTGTGTTCATCTCAGATGCACATTTCTGGATTGGGTCTTTAAATTTTGGGGCCACAGTTTTTTTTTTATTTCTTTATCAATTCCAGAGATCACACCTTTGTCTGAGTACATATTTGTCAAGATTGTTCCCAAATCTGTGGGTTGTCTTTTCACTTTGTTGGTAATTTCTTTTGAAGTGCAAAAAGTTCTATATAAGATGAGGTCCCAGTTGTTAATTCTTTCAAATGTTTCCTGTGTGATTTGATTTTTGTTCATGAACTCTTTGCCTACCACTGTCTTCAAGAGTTCCTCCTACTTTCTATTCCAGGAGATTTAGTGTTTCTCTTTT